GTGCATGCGTGCCCAAGATCCCGAGAGGAGAAGGGAGGAGAAGGGATTGCGGCGTGGCCATCCCCCCCCAGGGGGGGATCTCTTGCTTTCTGTCTATCTCTGTCTGTCTGGCGAGCGCACGCACCCTATAGCAAAAACCTCTCCAAAAAAAAGAACCAGCCCTTCAAGTCATGAGCACCCGGCTAACCAATGTCCACTAGCATTCGTTCAGGGCTGTCTGATCACCCCATGGGGGTCGCCTTGGACACAAATGCCCTGTACTCTGTGGAGTTTCTCATGTAAGACAGTAAAGCCACGCACAGAGGTGGCTCCATCTCTGTGGCTTCTCTTTCCCACATAAACTAGCATAAAGGTACATGCAATACAACTCCCTACAACTCAGCAGCCACTCCTAAGAATTTACCCAAGAGAAATGAAAACACATGTCTACAAAAAGGCTTTGACACAAATATTCATAGCAGCCCCGAGCCAAACACTACACCAAATGTCCACCATCTAAGACCTGAGAGATAAACAAATTTCCATGCAATGTAATTCTATGAGGGGACTTCAGAAGGAGAAATGTAAGTAAAGTGCAAGTTTATTTGGGTGCAAAAAGTTTGAAATCCATACATAGTCTTTTTTAGAATACATATTTTCCATGGGCTTTTCAAAGATCTCTCATCTTCAGCAATAAAAAGGAACAAAAGTACTGACACACGCAGCAAATTGGATGAATCTCATAAACATTAGGTGAATGACAGAAGCCAGACCCCAAAAATAAATACTGTAGGATTCTATTTATATGAAACTCAAGGCCAGACAAAACTAACCTGTGGTGATAGAAATCAGACCATTGACTCTCTATGGTGGGGTGGGGAAGAGGAGTGACTGGAAGGGGGAACAACAGAACCTTCTGGAATGATGGAAATGTTCCATATGTTGTTTGGGGTGGCAGTTTCCTGGGTGTATACATTGCCATAATCCATTGATCTGCACTTGAGACCTGTGCATTTTACTGTATATACAGTGGTTAACAATGCGGATACACTGGGCTAGTTTGTCCTTATGTAAACACCACCTATAGTCCATATTATTGGGTTGTCGGAAAAGTCATGATGTGTTTTTCTATGCAAAAATGCATCATGACTTTTCCAATAACCCAATAGTAGATTTTGCATGCTTAGGGGCCATGATGAACAAAATAACACAACATTAAATCAAGCACAAGAGAAAATGGTGCAGTCAAGAGACATGGTTAGCCTAAAATGTATGAGGCTTCTGGGGGGTAACGTAGCACGCTGTTTTACAGTAAATTTTTGCTATAGAAGTAGGCGTATACTCTAAAATGATTGAAAGGATAGCACAGCAAACACATAAACCAGTAACGCAGTCATTCACTCTCATGATCAAGTTTTAAGTGCTGTATGTAACTGCATGCGCTGTACACTGTCCACGACTGGCAGTGCAGAGCTGTTTACACCAGCAACACCACGAACTCATGAGAAATGTGTTGCACTAGAATGTTACAATAGCTACAACTCTCTGGGTGATAGGACTTTTTTAGCTCGACTATAATTTGATGAGACCACTGTGCTATGTGCATTTCAATGTCGATCAAAACATTGTTGGGAACCAGCAGTTGGCATAATGGCTATGTCGCTGGACTCCCACGTAGTCGACCGCGGTTTGCGTCCCAGACCCGGTGGCTTAAAACTCACGCCGGGCGCGTGTGCGTGCGTGCCCAAGATCCCGAGAGGAGAATGGAGGAGAAGGGATTGCGGCGTGACCATCCCCCCTGGGGGGTGATTTCTCGCTTTCTGTCTCTAATGTCTCTCTCTGTCTGTCTGGCGAGTGCACGCGCCCTATAGTGAAAATCTCTCCAAAAAAACCCAAAAAAACAAAAAACAAACAAACAAAAAAAACATTGTTATGTGCATGTGACTGTAATTCTACCTGAGCTTTTTCTAAATGTCTGCTTAAAATTTAAAAAGGCAAAAACAAAAGAGAGCCAGCCAGTAGTGTGGTGGTTAAGGTAGCTGGGTCCCACATGGTTGACTGTGTAGTTCAAGTCCCAGATCAGGCTGGGTGCATGTGTATACCTGCCCAAGATGCCAGAGGAGAGTGGAGGAGAAGGAATTGCAGCACAAATACTCCCCCTAGGAAGCACTTTCTCACTTATCTCTCTCTGACTCTCTTCTATGATTACATGCACCCTATAGTAAAATTTGAGGGGGGAAAAGAAGAAAACAAAAAAAGCAAGAAAAAAGACAGGAAGAACAGGAAAGGAAAAAGGCTGTTCTTCTCTGGGGCTTAGAATGCTGCCATGACTCTGTGTGCCCCCAGCAGGTGGGGCAGCTCAAGAGATGACACCTGGCAGTCCCTGAGCTGCTCTCTGCCCTCAGGCAGTCCTTGAGCCCTCCATGGCCAGCCTTTTCACCCCTTCCCCAGTGATACAATGATCTCTGCAGGCTTCTAGCTGGGCAGAAAGGGACTCAAGAGACCTCGCCTGTCTGGAGGAAGCCTGGTTTTGGTTACCTACACTCTGTTTAAGCAGCCCTTGTCAGGACTGTGCACTGACAGATGCAGCCCCTGGGGTGCAGTGGGAGCTCAGGTCTTCTGGTCCAGCACCCTTCTGCAAAAGAGAAAGACCCATTTGTCTTGGCCTACACTGAAGAAAGCAGCTGAAATTCCAACCACCTACAGAGAAGCACTCGATGAAGCATTTGGAATTTAAAGGGGAGGGGGAGGCAGATAGGGGTGAAGCTGCAGGATTTTTTCCTAAAAGCTTTGCAGTGTGTGAAAGAAAGAACACAGCTTTGAGGCAGACACCTAGTTAAGACTCTCAGCAGTGCCACTTAACCAGGTGTGTGACTAGGAGCAGAGGGTAGCTTCTCTGAGCACTTCCTCATCTACCAGCTGAAGTGGGGGTGGGGGAGAAGGACTGGTGAAAACAGTATATAGAGTTAGAGCTACCCCTGTACCCCACCCTGAACTAACCAGACCCTATGCTAAGGATCCTTGCAAACGGTGTGCTGTTTCACAGCAAAATGACTCGAATCATCTTCTTCCCAGTGATGGGGCCTCCCCAGCTAACCAGACCCTATGCTAAGGATCCTTGCAAACGGTGTGCTGTTTCACAGCAAAATGACTCGAATCATCTTCTTCCCAGTGATGGGGCCTCCCCAGCTAACCAGACCCTATGCTAAGGATCCTTGCAAACGGTGTGCTGTTTCACAGCAAAATGACTCGAATCATCTTCTTCCCAGTGATGGGGCCTCCCCAGCTAACCAGACCCTATGCTAAGGATCCTTGCAAACGGTGTGCTGTTTCACAGCAAAATGACTCGAATCATCTTCTTCCCAGTGATGGGGCCTCCCCAGCTAACCAGACCCTATGCTAAGGATCCTTGCAAACGGTGTGCTGTTTCACAGCAAAATGACTCGAATCATCTTCTTCCCAGTGATGGGGCCTCCCCAGCTAACCAGACCCTATGCTAAGGATCCTTGCAAACGGTGTGCTGTTTCACAGCAAAATGACTCGAATCATCTTCTTCCCAGTGATGGGGCCTCCCCAGCTAACCAGACCCTATGCTAAGGATCCTTGCAAACGGTGTGCTGTTTCACAGCAAAATGACTCGAATCATCTTCTTCCCAGTGATGGGGCCTCCCCAGCTAACCAGACCCTATGCTAAGGATCCTTGCAAACGGTGTGCTGTTTCACAGCAAAATGACTCGAATCATCTTCTTCCCAGTGATGGGGCCTCCCCAGCTAACCAGACCCTATGCTAAGGATCCTTGCAAACGGTGTGCTGTTTCACAGCAAAATGACTCGAATCATCTTCTTCCCAGTGATGGGGCCTCCCCAGCTAACCAGACCCTATGCTAAGGATCCTTGCAAACGGTGTGCTGTTTCACAGCAAAATGACTCGAATCATCTTCTTCCCAGTGATGGGGCCTCCCCAGCTAACCAGACCCTATGCTAAGGATCCTTGCAAACGGTGTGCTGTTTCACAGCAAAATGACTCGAATCATCTTCTTCCCAGTGATGGGGCCTCCCCAGCTAACCAGACCCTATGCTAAGGATCCTTGCAAACGGTGTGCTGTTTCACAGCAAAATGACTCGAATCATCTTCTTCCCAGTGATGGGGCCTCCCCAGCTAACCAGACCCTATGCTAAGGATCCTTGCAAACGGTGTGCTGTTTCACAGCAAAATGACTCGAATCATCTTCTTCCCAGTGATGGGGCCTCCCCAGATCTCAGAGTCTGAAATGTGGGGAAACTTGGTGTAGATAGTGCCATAGAGCTAAAGATAGGAAACATTTCCGCACAAAAACGTGGACTCATAGAAATGACCAGTAAAGGAGACCCACAGAACTTTATTCCTGGTTGGAATTCAGCAATAAACCAGCATATAACAAAAGCATTATTTTTCATTCAAATAACCTGTATCTATAAGTGGCACATACCTGGAACAGAACATATGCTTTTTTCTTCTAAAAACTCAATAAACCATTTCTGATATCTTTAATGGAGAGGAAATTAAATTAATACTATCAGTTTTTATATTTTTATGCAGTTCACATTTTCAACATTTATTTTAAAGTAGTTCAAGGTCTGTAAAATCCAGTGTTTTGAAATAGTCTGGGGTTTCAGGGTTAATTTCCATATTAATTTGAGCTATAAACATGATTAGGAAGTAAATCTGCTGCCAACAATATGTACAAATGCATTCTGAAATCAAAGGCACATTTGGGATTATCAGTGGATATAGACTTCATGCCAAAGGAGCCCTCAATTAATATGAGGGGATGTAAAATTACTCCATTTCTATTAAATTTTTATGGAGGTCAGCTTTTGAAGTTTCATGCCACCCTGGTAAGCAGACCTTCCCTTTCTTAAAATCATTCCACATGACTCACTTCTGAGAAACCTATTCTCAGCCCTCTTCAAGGAAAGCAAACTCAGATGTAACTCTTGACCTACCTGTTCCATGAACTCTCATCCCCAGGACACTGTAACTCTGAGTCAAGTATGTGGAACATCCCTGAAGCAACCAAAGCTCGCCTCTCCTCACCGGGGTCTTTGCTCTAGGCTGGGCAGCCCTGGTCCAGTCAAGTTTCTCAGTCTTGAATCCGTTAATGCCTGACATTTTCATTTCTGAGCATATGGAGTGTGTAGGGCACAGTCCTGAAAACTTTTAGTACATTACCTCAGCTTTTAGAGGTCCATCTCTGCTTATCCCCGCCTTACACATAATGAAACTAAAACACAGAACGGTTAAAGAACTTGCCCAAGATGACACAGCAGCGAAGTGGCAGAGTCCGGCAGACCACCTCTAGCCCGCTCTCTTAATCACTCCACTCTATTGTAAAGAGCTGAACAATCTCTGTACGTAATGTTCTAGGGTTTGGAAGTCTGGAAAATATTTGCAAAGGAGAGAACAAAAAGGATCTGAAGGACCCAGGCAGACTGCCTTCACTCACACAGCAAGTCTTGGAGGAAAAAAAAAAAAAAGACAGATAGCAGGAGAATCCCCCAGGAGAGCCACATAGGCCCGAGGCAAAGTGGTGGGAAGTAAACTGCACCTGCCACAACAGCCCGACCACCTCCCCACCCTCTTTGTTGTCTCACCCCAGAACCCCTGTTGCCACACCCTCTGCTCCCAGCCCGGAGCCTTACCTGCTCCCTCCACAGCATCCGAGGTTTCCTGCACCTCGCAGCATATCCGAAAGATAGCCAAGACTTTTAGCCTCTCTTACTCATTAAGGTCCTGTGATTTCCTACAGCTGAGCCAGTGGTTGAGGAAGCAAGGGGCTAGATCCGTAAGTGGCAAAAGCTGAGAAAGAAAAAGCAGAGGAAAGGATGTTGGTGTTGGAGTCAAATCAGTACCTGAGTCCAGATCTCAATTCACCAACTATTTGACTTGAGACTTACGCTCCCTAAGATTCTTCTTTATTGTGAAAAGGAGAATCATAAAACCTACCTTTGGGGGTTAATGTGTGGACTGACACATGATCAATAGAAGGCAGCTGGCATGGATATTTCCTGTCTTCCTGGCTCTGCATCCTGTTCCCCTCCTTCTACAATAATACCTTGGTGTTTCTGGAGGGAATTCTACCCCCCTCTATGTGGTTTGATTGAGCTGACCCTACCTTTTCTTTGCAGTGGTAGGGTGGAAATGCCAATGAGAATTGGCCCCAGGATTTTTCCTGGTACCATTGAGTTAGACGCTTTTCGTTCTCTGTAGTTGCCGAATCAGTAGACTATAAGCCAAGAGTTGTAGCAACCACCTTGCCACAATGGAAGGGAAGCTTGCTTGAGAATAACTTCAACACAGAAGTTGCAGATAAAGAATGGAGAAAGCAAGGTTTTGGACAACTGGAGATACGTAATTTCAGCTGTAGCAATTTGATCAACCCCAACTTTTCAGATACTAGAGGTGATAAATTACGTCTATGCCTTTCTCCACTGAGTTGACTGTTGTCCTCGGTTGAAATGTATCCCCTAAAATTCATATAATGAAACCCTAACTCCTAGTACCTGAATGTGACTGTATTTGAAGATAAGACCCTTAAAGACGGCCTTAAGTTAAGATAAAGTTGTTCAGGGTGGGTCCTAACCCAATCTGAGTGGTATCCTATAAGAAGAGGGAACTGGAGGAACCAGCAGTTAGCGTAATGGCTATGTCGCTGGACTCCCACGTAGTCGACCGCGGCTCGCGTCCCGGACCCAGTGGCTTAAAACTCACGCCGGGCACGTGTGCGTGCGTGCCCAAGATCCCGAGAGGAGAATGGAGGAGAAGGGATTGTGGTGTGCCCATCCCCTCTGGGGGGGATGATTTCTCGCTTTCTGTCTCTATGTCTCTCTCTGTCTGTCTGGCGAGCGCACGTGCCCTATAGCGAAAACCTCTCAAAAAAAAAAGAAGAAGAGGGAACTGGATACAAGGGACGGCAAGGAACTGCTCAGAGGGAAAACCAGGTTGAGGACACAGTAAGGAGGCAGCCCACCTGTAAGCTAAGGAGGCCTCAGAAGAAATCACAACTGCCAACACCTTGAGCTTGCAATTTCAGCCTCCAGAACTATGAAAAAATAAATTTCTGTTGCTTAAGCCAGTCTGGTATTTTTTAATAACAGTCATAGCAAACAAACACAGCTATCACAAGAATCTTAACTAATGCCTAATGCATATTTCTTTTTTTATTTTTTATTTTGGAGAGGTTTGTGCTATAGGGTGTATGCGCTCACCAGAAAGTCAGAGAGAGACAGAGAGACAGAAAGCGAGAAATCACCTCCTAGGGGGATGGCCACACGGCAATCCCTTCTCCTCCATTCTCCTCTAGGGATCTTGGGCACACACGCACATGCGCCCAGCATGAGTTTAAGCCACCAGGTCCAGGACTCGAACCGTGGTCGGCTACATGGGAGTTCAGTGACATAGCCATTATGCTGACTGCTGGTCCCATAATGCATATTTCTTTTCTTGTGACCTATGGGGAGAACTATAAATGGCATCTTACAAATATATCAACAATTTTGAAATGGGAGAGAATAGGGTGTTGAAGTAGTCAGAAAGGGCTTGGAGAGGGTTTAAAGTGGGGGAGATAAAACATAGATTGGGCTTTAAAGACTCAGTAGACTAGAATAAAGGAGAGGAAAAAGGTATCTAAATTGAAAGGATGACTCAGCCAGACCTAAGCACAAGACTTGATAACTAAGTAAACCAATCTAACCAGAGAGTGGTTGGGAGAAAAGCAAAACAAAACAAAACACAAACTGGAATAAAACCAAAGGACTAGATTATGGACGGTCTTAAAAGTCCAAACTGTAGAGTTTGAAATACACATTGTTAGTGATAAGAACCCATTGTTGGTCTTGGGGTAGCTGAGTGGCAGGTTGAAGGGGTGTTTGAGGAAGCTTGGCTGCCAACAAAGACAGAGAGAGACCAAAGTCAGGGAAGCTGTCATCCCTGAATATGGATCACTGTCAGATTCCATTGGGAGATGAGGAGGGAAGGAGGTGACTCACCAGTCTGTTTGCAACAAAGTCTCCATTCCAAGCAAAAGAGTCATCTCAGGGGGAGTGGGGAGGCCAGTGGAGGGCGAGGATAGAGTCAGTGAGAATTTTAGGTTGCTCTTGTTCCTTGCACCTCCTACATGAGGTCTGCCCACCCTTGGAGGAGGAAAAGTACAGCTGGATGCCATTGTTGTCACCAAGGGCATCAAGCTAACCCACCACCATTTCTATCCCACATCTAGCATTCATCTTTGTCAGTTCCAGCTCCACTAACACCCATGGTTTTGGGAATATGCCCAGTGCAGACACTATGAAACACTCGTAGGTCCAAAACACTCTTGAAGTCCAACGTCCATCCTGAGAGAGGGGTAAAACCATAGAAATCAAAGCTAGAGGCCCTTTCATCTGCCATATATTTATTGAGCATCTGTTATGCGCCAAGGACAGTGATAGGCACTTGGGGTACAACAGCAGAATTAAGTAAGGTCCAGGTAGGAGTTCCTCAGCAATTAAGACAGTAGCGTATTTGTGCAAGGATAGGAAGGTGGACCAATGGAACACAACAGAATTCAGAAACAGACTCATACACATAGGGTCACTGGATTTACAACAAAAGCGACACTGCAAAGTAATGGGGAAAAGACCGTCTTTGGAATAAATGGTGCTGGATTCATTAAATAGCAACAGGAAAATAAAGAAAAAAAAGATGTCCTCGTCCTCATAACATACACGAAAATCATTTCCGACTGAACTATAGTCCAAAATCAAAGCAAAACAATAAAACTTCCAAAAGTGATTAAGATAAAAAGCACTATCCAGAAAGGAAGAAACTTGGGAGTTCGACTTCACTAAAATTAAGAAGTTCAGGGCCAGGTGTTGGTGCAGTGGTAACACAATCGGACTCACATAAGAAATGTCCAGGGCAACAGCATAAATGCTGATGGGGGCACCTATCTCTCTGTCTCTGTTTATTTGTCTCTGTGTCTCTCAGAAGAATAAAACTTTTTTAAAAAGTAAGAATTCAATCTATCAAAACACACCATTAAGTTAGTAAAAAGCAAGTATTCGCCAAACATGTAACTAGCCTAAGATCAGTATTCAGAATATCTAATTCTCAAAAATCAGCTTTAAATAAAAATAAACACAAAAATGAAAAACGGGCAAGAGACTCAAACCAACACTTCAAAAACAAAGATTGTGAACAACCAATGGACAGAAAATTCTGACTGCGTTACTAATTAGAAAGATACAAATGAAGGTTAGTATGAGTTACTGGAATCTGCTTTTAAAACCTGAAACTCTCCAGTGTAAGTGAGATGTGAAGCAATAGAGGCCCTCTGTATTGCTGGTGGGAGGGCGAATCTGTAAAACCAAAGTTGAGCATAGAAATATACTTTGACCCAGAAAATCCACTCCTGGGTTACACCGAAGGGGGCTACGGTACAAGAACATCAAGAGACATGAACAACAGCGGTTCTCGTAGTACCCATGACGATGTTCAAAAGCTGGAAACCACCCAACTATCCATCAACAATGGACTAGATAAATAAAGTGTAGTGAGTTTCCACAATGGAGTAGGAATTACCAAAATGAACTTCCCTATCCTAATCCTACTTCTTGGTATCTACCCAAAGGATAAGAAAACAGTCGGAAAGACATCTGCACTTCCATGTTTACTGAAGCCTTACTTATAATTGCAAAAATATGGAACCAACCTAAGGGTCCAGAAACTGATGATTGGGTTGAAAAGCTGTGGCACATATATACAATGGAATATTACACAGCTATAAGAAACAATGGTATCTTATCATTCCATTCAAAATGTATGAAAATGGAAGACTTAATATTGAGCAAAGTAAGCCAGACTTTCGAAGATACATACTGTATATCCCCACTCAATTTGTACTGAGTATCTGCATTTTATGGTAGAAGTTGAGAGATAGGAAGATGTTATGGTGAAGAGGGTGGGTATAGATGCTAGAGACCACAAGGGGAGAAAGTGGTTGGTGGAGAGTGGGTAGTGGATGGTGGATATGAGAAAAAAAATTTAGGATACTGTTATCTGTTCAGCTAGTCTGCAGATTGTTTCATGAATGCTTCGTCAAATAATGAAAGTTAAAGTGCAAACATTTTTGAAAATTATAAATGATAAACTTATGTTTACAAGAAAAATAAAAAAAATAGTTCACTCTAGTGAACTGTTTCTTTAGTATCTGTTAGTTTACTTGTCACCAAAAGAGCACTTTGCCTAAAAGAAAGTGTGCAAAATGCTTACAATCTTCTGTGAAGTTGTAGTTTATCATTAGTTTATATCTGTAAGTTATTGTTATAAATATTGCCTGTACTTTTGGTATATATGACTTTATACTTTGAAGCTTGTATCCGTAAATTTGCAACTGAAATTTATTTTGCCAGTGTTTTCTGAATGAACTGAAAAAGCTTCAGTTGTGTGTGTGTGGGGGGGAAACAGGAATTAGCAAAATGAAAGTAAGTGAATTATAGCTACATGTCACAACATGGATAAATCTCACAAAAGTAAGGTCAAATGAAAGAGACCAGATGCAGAGGAGAATCTACATCATGAACCCATGTAGTTCTAGTTCAGAAATAGACAAAGCCAACTGTAGTGCACTAGAGGTCATGGGAGTTGTTTTTTGGGGAGAAGGGTAAGAACTGAAAAGGGTCTAGGGTATATTTTGGGGGTGCAGTCAATGTCGGGGCAGTGAATATACAGCTGTTTGTTGTATAATAATTTATTGTACTTTATGCTTTATGTTTTGTGTAGTTTTCTGTATTCGTGCTATACTTTGTAATACAAAATGTTAAAAATCATATGGTCCACGCCACCACCCAGCTCACAGCCAAGTTTGGGAGACAGAAGAGTAAACAGGTGTTGATGGCATGCGTGTGAAATCAGTGCTTTGATGACCAGACTGCCTGGCTTCCCGTCCCAGCCCTGCCACCACCTAGTCAAGTGATGGCAAATGACGTTAACTCTCTTGGCTTTCTTTCTTCTTGTGTGGATGGTCTTTTGAATAAATAGTGCTGGATCATAAAATGAAAATGATAACCATACCTGCCTCACGGGGTTGTTGTGATAATTAAGTGAGTAAGTAGAGGTCATACTGCTAAAATATACCTTGTGTCGAGTAACTGACCAAAACCCTTGTAAGCCATTATTATCAGCAGCACTAGCACTATTACTATTAATACCACTTCCACTGCTGCCACCACTACTTTAACAACCACTGTTACTAGCCAGTGAAGTCTGGTTGCTTCTTCTCATGGTTAGGGAAACGAGAGGCAGAGCTGGAGCAGAAGGGACTTTCTTTCTGTAACCGGCTATAGGGAGACATACTCAAACTGTCTTGAAAAGTACAATATATTATATATATTTTTTTTGGGGGGGGGAGGTTTTCGCTATAGGGTGCGTGTGCTCACCAGACAGAGAGAAACAGAGAGACAGAAAGTGAGAAATCACCCCCCAGGGGGGATGGTCACGCTGCAGTCCCTTCTCCATTCTCCTCTCGGGATCTTGGGCATGCACGCACACTCACCAGGCATGAGTTTTAAGCCACCAGGTCCAGGACGCAAACCGCAGTCGACTATGTGGGAGTCCAGCTACATAGCCAATACGCTAACTGCTGGTCCCACAATATGTTCTTGATACTTATAGGTAAAATGTACAAGAATGTACGAATCATTCCTCACTACAATCAATCAATTGCTTTCCCCTGAGTAATTACTTTGATTCCTTCAAACATTCATTCCCAGTTTCTCATCTGACCATTCTTCCAACTGACTCCCTATGACTCAGCATGAAGTCAGACTGTTCTCCTTAGAGGCCTTTTTAAATTTCAAAATGGCAGCAGTCCTGCTAAGTCTTAAATGGGCCTGCTTCACCACTACTAGTACCCCCTACACTAGTACTGCCACCACTGGTATCACCTCCACTACAACTATCATAGAAGCTCAGGGAGGATCACAAAACACATACAAGAAACAATAGAGTTTTCTGCTCTAGGTGCTCTTTGTCACTCTCCAGCCAACTGGTATACCTGGGGAGCCGGAAGAAGCCATTAGGTTATTGTTTCTTCTCTTCTCCAGGGTCCTGCCATGAACAATTTATTCTCAACTACACTTCTCTCAGAACTGGACAAAGGAAACATCAAAGGAACCATTACTACTTTGCAACTTGTCTCACCGTGCCTGTGCCCTGTACACAGCAGGTGCTCAATAAATGCTTCTCAGGTGAGTCTAAATTAAATGAGAAAGTAAGTGCAGAGCCAACAGAAAAACAGGTAGGAAATCCATGGGTTACCAACAACTCTAAAGAGACACTCAGACACTAGTCCTTTAGCCTTCCCTTTTTTCTCCCATGACCAGTATCTTGATTCTGCCCTGTCCTCATTCTGCTCAAACCTGCTGCTGACCCAGACTAGAGGTCGCACTGTGATCTGCTGAGCCACCTGCTCCTTAGGTGACCATGTGAGCGAGTCCCTATTTATCTTTGTTACTGCTGCAAGTGTTTGAAAAAAAAAAAAAAAAAAACAGTTTCAAAGATGTCTGTTGGGATAACCTATTGATTTGTGTCACATTTCTCCCAATCCCCATTTTATTGTTGTTCAAGACGGGGTCAGAATAGGTCAAAAATAACTCTTTCCATTGGAGGCAACAGACTGAGGAATTCTAGCAGGAATTCTCAATTCTCTCTGAGGCACAGGCTTGGGAAGAAATGGAAGAAAGACTGAGATGTCCCAAAACCAAACTGGACACTGTGGAGATAAAGGGTCAGGGTGAGGTCTGTGACATCCAAGCTTAGGAAGAAAAGAAAAAATTAATGAAGAAGATAAAGTGAAGATACAGATTATAATTTAGGATCAACACCTAGTACATACTTTTAGAAGATTTTTTAAATTAATTTTTTATATTGGCTGAACTAGTTTGCTGAATATGACCTAAGTGTTAGCCAACTATTTCATGATCAATGAAAAAATGCAGGCACTTCATATTTATGGGTCATTTACCAGACACTTTATCTATAGTTATCTGTGACTAAATACAACTACTGGTTGTTTTTATAAATAAAGTTTTATTGGGACACTGTTGTGCCCACTTGTTATGTATTTGTCTATGGCTACATTGCTCCAACAGTATAGGTAAATAACAATGAGAGACCGTATCATTCACAAAGCCTTAAATATGTACTATCTGGCCTGGTATAGAAAGTTGGCTGACCCATGACCTATAAGATCTTAGTTAATTCTCACACCCCCACCTTATAACTCATACGGGTTAAATACCTTCCTCAGGATCAGATTCAAGGACAAGCGATTTGAACTCAGATTTGCTTAACACAAAAAAATTCCCCCCGAATGTGCTACTTTTCAAAGAAGATACTGTGATCATTCTTAATAACATTACTTGTATAAGTCAAACATCTATAGAAATCATACCTCTATCTCTATTCACATATCTTATAAGTCAAATTTGACATAAGGGCTGCTCAAACCCCACTGTTTTACTAGAATGTCATTCAGTTGTGTACTTTTATGTTAATGCAAGATATCTCTTTAGGTTTTAAAATCTTTGATTCTACTGAGATTTCAGAGGCATGCCACTGTCACAGAGTTAGCTTATGATCCATGTCATCTTGAGAGGTCCTACTCTCACTTTAGTCTTGGCCAACACTGACTGGATTTATGGGGGACAAATATGAATCCTCTCTTACCAGAGGCCAAGAAGAGGCATGAAAAGGCAGTGCCAAGGTATAATCTCCAGTGGTATGGGGATGAAACTCAAGTATTTTATGTCTTTCTCTCTTCCATTTTCACTTCCCTCCCTGTAATAGAGTTATTTCCTAAGACTCTAGGCACGGCTGGAACAATATTCAGGTTGAGGGAAATGGGAAGTTACGAGAAAACTCAGAATGCAATGCTTTCCAAAGAATCTCTGGTTTTCTATATTACTCAAGAAAAAAAAACAAAACAAAATAAAACAAAAAACCTGCTATGGTCAGAGTAGAAAAAAGAAGTATGCTACTGCTTGATTTCAGGAGAAAATATTGGGTCACCAGGAAAGTCATGACGCATTTTTGCATAGAAAAATACCTCAGGGAACCAGCAGTTAGCGTAATGGCTATGTCGCTGGACTCCCACGTAGTCGACCGTGGTTCGCGTCCCGGACCCAGTGGCTTAAAACTCACGCTGGGCGCATGTGCGTGCGTGCCCAAGATCCCAAGAGGAGAATGGAGGAGAAGGGATTGCGGCGTGACCATCCCCCTGGGGGAGTGATTTCTCGCTTTCTGTTTCTATGTCTCTCTCTGTCTGCCTGGCGAGCGCACGCACCCTATAGTGAAAAAACCTCTCCAAAAAAAAAAGTTTAGAATTAAAAAAAAAAAAAAATACCTCATGACTTTGCCAATGACCTAATAGTTACTACATGGAATTGGGAAGGGGAGGTAAATACAGAGGGACTTGAAGGACAGAACGTTACATCAACATCTTGAGAGAGATTCGTTAAGAATAATTCGAAGGATAATTCACAGAAATGTGACTTTTGAATAGCAACTAACTTCAAAGGATCTCAGTGTAAGACGCTGGTCATGTGCTTTGTAACTCTGGATGTGGGAGCCATGTTGTTCCACCTTGTGAGCAGCGTGATCATGGAGCTTGGAAATCCGGTGCCTGGGAAATACAGAAAGATCTCAAAATACAAAGAAAAGGCAACCATGAGGATATTTCACAGGGCAAAGTGGATTAAGATCCATCAAAGCAAATGGTGGTCAAGCCCTGACCACCACCAACACTAACAATGAAGCAAAATAACTTCGGGAATGTGACTGTTCAGAGTGATCCTGGGGACCCCAAGAGACACCTTTCTTTGGTAGAGGACGCCCAGGTTAAATCAGCTCTCTTTCAGCTATCCCAGACTTCCTGGCTTTCTTCACACGGTGTGAGCCCTCCCTTGTCTAATCCTGAAATAGGCTTCTCTTCCCATCTTTTGACAAGCTTGGAGGCATGGGATGTGACCTTGGGCACACTCCATGCTTTTCATACAGATACCCCCTCCACACACACACAGCTGGCCGAAGAGCTCGTCTGCAGACCCCAGGCCACTTCCTGGGTCTACCCCACCCCCAGTGAGATCCCAGAGAATGTTCAGTTACTACAATAGGAAAACCAGAAAGGTCTAAGCGTGGACAAAGCCCTGACACAGATATACACACACAAGAAACTCAAAGGGATGGGCAGATGAAACTACCACTGAAAAAAAATCTCAATTTACTTCATTTCTTTGAACTTCCAACCCGACTACTAAAAGGGAAATGAGAAAAAAAAAAATCACTAAACCAAAATCATTTTTTAAAGTGATACGTGTCAGGACCAGCAGGTGGTATGGTGACTGAGGGCACTGGACTCCCACATGGCCGGCCACGGGTCAAGTCCCAGACCTGGAGGCTTACTTTCCACGTTCCCTCTCTCTCTCTCTCTCTCTCTCTCTCTCTCTCTCTCTCCCGCTTGTTCTCTCACTCTGTTACTCTCTGGTCAAATAAAAATAAAGTTAAAATAATAAAAAATCATTATTAAAAAATATGTGTCTTTATTTTAGAGAGAGAGAGAGAGCTTGTTTGTTTGTTTGTTTTTGTTTTGTTTTTGTTTTTGATTTTGCTACAGGGTATGTGCCCTTGCCAGAAAGACAGAGAGAGAAAGAAAGTGAGATATCACCCCCCCCATGGGGTTATGCTGCAATCCCTTCTCTTCCATTCTCCTCTCAGGATTTTGGGCACACACGCACACACGCCCAGTGTGTTTTAAGTCGCCAGGTCTGGGACTTGAACTACAGTCAACTACATGGGAAATCCAGTGATGTAATCATTATGCCATCTGCTGGTCCCATATGTGTCTTTAATACCAAACCTAACCTTGGTTTCCCTCCCCTTCCAAACAACCATTTCTTATAGGAGAAATTAAGCACTTTGCGTCTCCGAATGCTGCTGGGATGTGCACATTCAGGTCAGAAGCAGTTCTGGTCCCGGCAGAGGCACCTCAGGAGTTAACCAGGGGTATTTATTTACAGGTTAAAGAGGCAAGCTCCAGAGAAGGCTGTGCTGAGGCGACGCTGAGCGTGAGCTAACAAGACGCGCTCTCCAGCGGCACTCTGGGCGATTACTCCGGAGCACCCAGCCATACCAAAATCAATAAACAATTTCAGCGCAGCCCAGGGAACTTTGCCACACTTAATAAAAGTCTCCAGCTGCAGTTATGGCTTCATTTCACCTTAACGTCTTCTTTAACTGTCCCTTCTTTTCAAGATCAATTAGAAGTACATGCAAAGAGAATAAAGAAATACTCACGTGCAAATACACACATACAGACACACACACCAGAAGCAAACAAGGTCAAAACTAGTTATGTGTAGGCCGGGCTCTCCCTCCCCATTCGTAATTTCACTTTCAGACGACCAACAGTGAATAAGCCGAGGATAGGATGAAGGGAGTGGAGCTGGGTTTTAGTGGGCAAGGGAGAAAGGGGTGGGGGGGTGAGGAATTGACCCCATTTCCTAAGTACACATGAGGTCTTCAAAAAAGTTCATAAAAATTGCACAGTAGGAAAAAACTATGTGTAAATGAAACCTCCAAAATTGCACCAAATAAACTTATACATCAATTCCATTTTCCCATAAACTTTGTAGAGTGTCCTCCTATAACTAATCTCATCATGAGTCACACTCTTTTTCTGTTAAAGATGCTCAAAATCTCTTCCCCTCTGAAAATTACCCATGATATTTTGCTTTCGACTCTTTTCTTACTCCCCAGAATATTCATTGAAGAATGGATAGGAAGGGGCCGGCAGGTAGCGTGGTGATTAAGGCACTGGATTCCCACATGGCTTGACTGCAGTTTGTGTCCTGGACCTGGTGGCTTGTTTTTTCTCTCTCTCTCTCTGGTAAAATTGAATAATAATAATAATAATAATAAATTTAATTTAATTTAATTTAAAAGGGAGATGAAATGAGGCCAAAATGTGTTCATGTTATTGTTGGTGCCTCCTGTTGAAGAGGTGAGAAGCATTGCCTGGGGTATGCATGACAGAAGGAGGAAGAAGTGAAAACAGCTAAAATGTCAGCTAAAATGTGTGTTGTTGGATCCCATGTGCGTTTAATTCCTCATATGCCTTAGAAGCCCACCAGATCCCTGGTCCTGGTACTGGGACTAGAGCTTGCCTAATTCACTAGTCTCAATAGCCATTTTCCAGGCCTGATTGGATGGATATGTGACAAAACGAAACGAAAATCTGTTTAATTTTTTAAAAATGGCCTCAGCGTGTGTTACATTCTATACATTTGGAAATTCATCACATATTCACATCTCTAGGTGCACAAACCCTACCCTTTTATTCTAGAAAATTAACTGGACTCTGTGAGATGAACTGCTCACCCTTTCCGGAAGTCAATAACACTAATTAATTCATCATCTTGGATTCTTGGCCACTCAAGTGCAGTCAGAAACAGAAAGCTTCATCTGCAAGAAGTACAGAGAAAAAGACTTTCCGTGAACAAACACATTTTACATAAGTGAGAGGAGTCACTCAGATGATGGGAATAGAGAAGGTTAGGCCATTCTGGGTGGCTATGGAAATGGTGACAGCCCTTCCCCTTCCTTTCCTTTTTCCCAGCTGAAGCCAACTCTAGAACAGTCATCTTCCTTCAGGTAGGCAGAGCCTTTTGGAAGAGGAGACGGTGGCTCTGACTGTTTCATCGTTGGTCTCTGCTTTCCCTGGACTGCAAAGGGATCCTTGCCGCCGGGCATGTGAAGTGCGCACACGTAGAGGAAGGGAAAGGTTTCTCATTCCCAGTCCCAGGAATCTATCTTCCTCAAGGTGTGCGTCTCAGGACATCGGAGCTGACTCTGAGCTACAACCCTCCCTCAGTTTTCCAAGGATCTGACTCTGTCATTGTGGCAGCTGCATTTCTCTACTGAACTCTTCACCTTCTTTCTCCAAATCTAAACATTTCCATTCCCACCAGCCCTTCCCACTAGACTCACACTTCACCAAGTATATCTTTCAGTCAAGCTTGGGGGGGCTCCAGGGCATTTGGAAGGGAAGAAGATACTAGAGCAGTAATTATAGTGACGTTCACATTTCTCCCTGCAAGTTGGGAAAATAGCTCTGTTTAAAACTTCCATTTATATGGAGTAGACAGAACACCTGTGAGGTATTTGGCAACCTCAAATGTCATTACAACAGGTTGCAATGCTAACAACTGGAGTTTTATAGGACTTTTTTTTTTTGGCATTTTAGAGTAAAGAATAAAGGCATACCAATCACAGAAATAAATTTCTGAATTTGTCCGTGTTTGTTCCAAGACCAAACTAGATATGTCAACAAGTTAGTCATGGCTTGTCTTTTCTTTCTTCCCCCTCTGTATAATTGAATAATAATAATAATAATAATAAATTTAATTTAATTTAATTTAAAAGGGAGATGAAATGAGGCCAAAATGTGTTCATGTTATTGTTGGTGCCTCCTGTTGAAGAGGTGAGAAGCATTGCCTGGGGTATGCATGACAGAAGGAGGAAGAAGTGAAAACAGCTAAAATGTCAGCTAAAATGTGTGTTGTTGGATCCCATGTGCGTTTAATTCCTCATATGCCTTAGAAGCCCACCAGATCCCTGGTCCTGGTACTGGGACTAGAGCTTGCCTAATTCACTAGTCTCAATAGCCATTTTCCAGGCCTGATTGGATGGATATGTGACAAAACGAAACGAAAATCTGTTTAATTTTTTAAAAATGGCCTCAGCGTGTGTTACATTCTATACATTTGGAAATTCATCACATATTCACATCTCTAGGTGCACAAACCCTACCCTTTTATTCTAGAAAATTAACTGGACTCTGTGAGATGAACTGCTCACCCTTTCCGGAAGTCAATAACACTAATTAATTCATCATCTTGGATTCTTGGCCACTCAAGTGCAGTCAGAAACAGAAAGCTTCATCTGCAAGAAGTACAGAGAAAAAGACTTTCCGTGAACAAACACATTTTACATAAGTGAGAGGAGTCACTCAGATGATGGGAATAGAGAAGGTTAGGCCATTCTGGGTGGCTATGGAAATGGTGACAGCCCTTCCCCTTCCTTTCCTTTTTCCCAGCTGAAGCCAACTCTAGAACAGTCATCTTCCTTCAGGTAGGCAGAGCCTTTTGGAAGAGGAGACGGTGGCTCTGACTGTTTCATCGTTGGTCTCTGCTTTCCCTGGACTGCAAAGGGATCCTTGCCGCCGGGCATGTGAAGTGCGCACACGTAGAGGAAGGGAAAGGTTTCTCATTCCCAGTCCCAGGAATCTATCTTCCTCAAGGTGTGCGTCTCAGGACATCGGAGCTGACTCTGAGCTACAACCCTCCCTCAGTTTTCCAAGGATCTGACTCTGTCATTGTGGCAGCTGCATTTCTCTACTGAACTCTTCACCTTCTTTCTCCAAATCTAAACATTTCCATTCCCACCAGCCCTTCCCACTAGACTCACACTTCACCAAGTATATCTTTCAGTCAAGCTTGGGGGGGCTCCAGGGCATTTGGAAGGGAAGAAGATACTAGAGCAGTAATTATAGTGACGTTCACATTTCTCCCTGCAAGTTGGGAAAATAGCTCTGTTTAAAACTTCCATTTATATGGAGTAGACAGAACACCTGTGAGGTATTTGGCAACCTCAAATGTCATTACAACAGGTTGCAATGCTAACAACTGGAGTTTTATAGGACTTTTTTTTTTTGGCATTTTAGAGTAAAGAATAAAGGCATACCAATCACAGAAATAAATTTCTGAATTTGTCCGTGTTTGTTCCAAGACCAAACTAGATATGTCAACAAGTTAGTCATAGAGCTGTCATGCAATAGGCATTTCCTCGGGTTCTGGTGGCTTTCTAATGCTTACTAGATGAGACAAGTTCGTGACACCAAGTTCATGCATTAGGCAGGAAATCCTAAACCTACTGGTAGCTAACACAGAATAAGCCACAGGTGCACCTGTATTTCTAAAACTCAGTCAATAAACACATTTGTAAAAATATTTCACAAAATGAAGACCAAGCTGCAGGTTCCAGTGGAAAAACACAACTACAAAGGTATGTGTTCTTATCCCCTCCTCATGCCTCCATCCTATTTAATATTTTCATGGTGGGCACAGAGGGGGAGGCTCATGTCTAATTCTGTCTTTTGATAGCCTGCAGGAGCTCAGGATGTGCAGCTATCTTCATAAGCAACCTTCACAAGCAGAGAAACACTCCTTTAAAAAATAATCAACTGGGAATCTGGTTAGAGTAATGCCTAGTTATAGAGGACTAAGAAAGGCAAAGTGGGGATTGATACAAAATATATTAGGTAGCTGAAAAGGAGAAGCAATTGGACACCTGGGTGTCTGAAGATCTTTATTTTGAGAACGAATGTAAGACTTGTAGGACAACAAACCTTCAAGTGGTGATCAAATGGCATCATTCACCAAATTCACAAATGACAAGCTCTGTTCTTTGTGTGTTATCTGATCTCTCTAGGGTTCTATAAAGCATGCAGAGCTTTGAAATATATATTTGGAACCAAGCCACATACATAGAAACTGACATCAGCTATAAATCAACTCCTGGCTTTCTGATTACTTTTTTAGGAAATTACCTGAAAATTAAATATTTTCAATAAGAGAGTATCGAAAATAGTTCTGAAGTAAAAGAAAAGACTAGAAATAATCAGACCACGTTCTGGCCTTACCTCTCAAGCCAGGCCATCTCCAATACCCATCCTCACCCCCTCCACAACATACATGGTAGTTAGTGACCTTTCACAGCCCAGTCTCAACTGAAGTCACTCAACTGCTAACACTCTGGGCTCTGCATAGCCAAGACTAGTACTTTACTCTCTGGTTACTCCCTCCGGCCATGCCCTTTAACTCATCCCACGTAATACAAGTGCTGTTGGAGGATTTAGACGTTCGTGCAAAGTGCATTAGGACCTCTCCTCCTGGGGCCAGCAGGTGGTGTAGTGGTTAAGGCGCTGGACCCACATGGCCGACCTTGGTTCAAGTCCCAGACTCAGCAACATGAAACTCAGGCCAGACGCATGTGCATTGTACCTTAAATCCCAGGAGGAGAATAGAGAAGGGATTGCAGCATGGCCATGCCCCTGGGGGAGATTTTGCACTTTTTGTCTCTCTGTCTCTCTTGTGAGAGCACACACCCTCTGGTAAAAATCTCTCTAAAAAAAACAAACCTCTCTTCCTATTTTTATTCCTCTATTATTGTAGGACTCTGATTCTCAGTACCCTAACCCTGAACTGTGCAGGGTTCCCTGCTGGACCAAGAACTAGCAGGCTTCTTCTCTTGGTACTTTGGGGCAAGTGATAAGCAGCTACAAAGACTTTTTTTTTTTTTTCATATGACTAAGGACACAGAGGTCACTACACTAGTAACCTCCTGAGAAAGTTCAGAATGACTGACATTTCATATTCATAAGCTTACCTTAGTCCATTCCAGGGGCCACTGGGTTCTTCCAGGCCAGGGTCAGCTAAGCCACCAGGCACCGTGCAGTCCTTGGCCACACTGCATAGCAACTCCTGAGCACACTGCACAGTCCAGATTCTGACAGCTTTCAAAAGAGACAGTTTATGGGAACCAGCAATTAGCGTAATGGCTATGTCGCTGGACTCCCACGTAGTCGACCGCGGTTCACGTCCTGGACCCGGTGGCTTAAAACTCACGCTGGGCGCGTGTGCGTGCATGCCCAAGATCCCAAGAGGAGAATGGAGGAGAAGGGATTGCGGCGTGACCATCCCCCCTGGAGAGTGATTTCTCGCTTTCTGTCTCTATGTCTCTCTCTGTCTGTCTGGCGAGCACACGCGCCCTATAGCGAAAACCTCTCCAAAAAAAAAAAAGAAAAAAAAAAAAAAAAGAGACAGTTTATGACCAGGGCAACATCAGTCATCAGTGCTGTCTGGAATCAGTCAGGGTTTTCAATAGCTGTCATTTTTTCCCTTTAAATTATTAATTATTGTTGGTTTGGCTTCAAAAATATCAATCTATTAACAGTTCAGTCGTGTGATGCAGGTAACGCAAGTCTTCGTGGTGCTGGGACCACTTGGGAAGGTCCTGGATTCATGTCACGAGGTCTGCCTGTGTGTGCAGACATGCATGTGCATGTCTGTGATCCTGGCTGGCTGAGGCCGGATGTGGACCATGGTGTGAAAGCCGTATTGGGGTTGCCTTTTCTCTCTCTCTGAAGTGATATATAAAAACATGTCGACTTAGTTCATTATGAAGCCTGTAGGATTTTCTGATGTGTATGTGCATTCTACTTAAAATCTGTAGTTTTTTCTCCATTGTTTGATTTACAAACCTATATTTTTGCCATTCAAATGGTAATCATCCATACCCTTCGTGGTAAAAAACAAATTCATGACATCATCCCTTAACCCTCCCATCACGCGCGCGCGTGCACACACACACACACACACACACACACACACATCCCTTGTAGAGATTCTAGGTTGCAAATGACTGAATTCTTTCCTTCCATTTGAAACTGGGAACAGGCAGGTGATTAACCAAAGTCACAGATCCTAGACCTTTCCATGAGCACATGGGGTTCCTGGATATTAATGGTCTAATATGAAGGAATTAACATCTGTGAGAATTAACGTCATCAAATTTTCCCATGAGGCTAATCAGGATCGGCGCAAATTATAGCATTATAGTGCAGAGTTCGGCTTTTAAAACGCAAACAAATAACCAACACCGCAATGATTTCTTTTATAGAAATTCTGAAAGTCATTCCTAGTCTTGTGCGATTAGTTCTTCACAGAAGAACTATGTTAATACCACTTTGCAATCCAAGTTCTGTATAAAGGTTGAATGAGGAAAAGGCATGCAGGAAAATGGTAGTTTGTTGAGAACAAAAATGATTCTAAGAAAATCAATATCACATCTAAGAGCCTTGGCCAGGCAGCTTTTACTGGACTGTTCTCACCCCCAAAATCTAGTTCTCTGCTCCAAACATCCTAACATGGCTGTCCCTTCACCCATTCCAGCACTACAGAAGGATAGCCCCTCTCTTCATTAGCACTCCTTTACAAAGGCTTCCTTCCATTTGGTCAACTACAAGAAAGACATTAAGTTGTAGCAACTCCCAGAATTCAGACCAACAGAAATCCCCTAGCGGATGAATCCATTATTGAACCAAATCTCAGACAATACCCCAGCCAACTTCATACTTTTTATGACCACAGCAAAATCTCGTTGACAAGAAGAGAACTATTCAACACAATGCCTTTTATGACTTCCCTGCAGAAGTGATCGAGTTTCAGTTAAAATATTACTTCTGTCATGTTCTGTTCATTATCAGAGAGCCACTCGGTAGGACCTGCACCCATGTTTCACCTCCCAAAGGGAGGAATATCAAAGAATGTGTGAACATATTTTTAATTTCCAACTCTGCCCTCCTGCCCCATCCCTATAACCTCCACTCTACTCACTGTTTCCATGAGATTACTCGTGTATTCCACACATGAATGAGAGCACTCAGAATTTCTCTTTCTGCACCTGGCTTATTTGACTTAACATAAAGTCTTCCAGGTTCTTCTATGGTGTCACAAATGACAGAATTTTCATCTTTTGTATGGATAAATAGTATTCCATTGTGCATGTGTCACATTTTCTTTATCCCCTCAACCTCCAAGGGACACTTAGGTTGATCTTGTATTTGGCTATTGTGAATAATGCTGCAATAAACATGGGAGTGTGAATATCTCATCAGCATATTGATATCATTTACTCTGAATATATATCCAGTATTAGGATGGCCATCTGGTAAGTTTTGTTTTTATATTTTTCTCTCTGTGTACCCCTGTATGGTTTTTGTATTTTTTTTTAATACAATGTCTCACTATGTTGTGACCCTCCTGGCTCAGGCTCCTGAGTAGCTGGATACTACAGGTAAGTACCACCACATCTGTTTATTTTATTTATTTTTTTTTTAGAGGTTTTCGCTATAGGGCGTGTGCGCTCACCAGACAGACAGAGAGAGACAGAGAGACAGAAAGCGAGAAATCACCCCCAGAGGGGGATGGTCACGCCGCAATCCCCTCGCCTCCATTCTCCTCTTGGGATCTTGGGCACGCACACACACGTGTCCGGCATGAGTTTTAAGCCACCGGGTCCGGGACGCGAACCGCGGTCGACTACGTGGGAGTCCAGCAACATAGCCATTACGCTAACTGCTGGTTCCCCACATCTGGCTTTTTAAAGCTGGCCAGATCTCCCATGTGACCTCAGTCTTCTGAGCAGCAGCATCCAGCACATGCTACCGTGTTTGGGTCAGTAGTTCTAGTTTTCATTTTTTGAGGAATCTTCATACTGTTTTCCATAATGGCTGTCCTAATTTACAATGATGTGCAAGAGTTCCCTTTTCTGCATATCCTTGCCAACACTTATCCTTTGTCTTTTTGATAGCAGCCCTTTCATCAGGTGCATAGTGAACTCTAATTGTGTTTTTAATTCATGTGAACATATTTTTAAGCCATAAACTGTAGATACTGTTTTCCTGCCTTCAACTGGCTTATGCACTGGAGCCACAGAAAACACGTCAACAAAGATGGCAAGGCTGTCCTGGGAGTGCCGTGTGTCCTCTAGCTATGGTTTTTGTTGTGGTTTTGTCGTCGTTGTTTTTTGTAGAGAGATTTTTGCTATAGGACGCATGTGCTTTCTGGAGAGAGAGAGGCAGAGAGCCAGAAAGCAAGAAATCAGCTGCCCAGGGGGCGATGGCCACACCACAATCCCTTTCCTCTATTCTCCTCTCAGGATTTTGGAAGCGCTTGCACACATACCCAGAGTAAGTTTCAAGACGCTGGGTCTGGGACTCAAACCACAGTCAACTATGTGGGAGTCAAACAACATAACCATTACACCATCTGCTGGTACCATCTGTGAAATCTTCTCCCTCCTTGTTCCTTATTCTCCCTAAACCCTCTTTGATTTGTGATAGTGGCCAAACTCTGGACAACATGGATGCTCACTAGCAAGAACTTTGAGTTTCAGGTGACAGAATTGGGAAAGGAGCCTTGATCCAGCAAATTAGATCTTTAGCCTGCCTGTATTGACATCCCTCTAGCTGCCACACACAGGTAATGTTTATCTTCCTAATTTTCAGAACATTATCAAGCATTTGGAGGCACTACATGTTTGATTGTGATAAATACATGTATTATATAGTTTATATATATAAATTAATATATATTTATATAAATACATATTTTATATATATATTATTTTATTTTATTTGTTATTATGTTTTAATTTTCTATAAAGCATATGACCTCACCAGAGTGAGAGAAACAGGGAGAGCATGAGAGAGAGAGAGAGAGCGGGAAAGAAAGAAAATGAGAAACCAAGCCACCAGATCTGGGACTCAAACCACAGTCATCCATGTGAGAGTCCAGTGCCTTAACCACCATGCGACTTGCTGGCCCCAACAACACATAGTAGTCTTGCCCAAATGAGAACTGTGGAAAAATACAATACTAATTATAAAATTCACATGCTAATCCAATCCCATACGCTAGTGGTTAAGGAAGCCAGACACCACATGGCCAAGAGCTGTTCAAATCCCAGCCTCGGTAGCTTAAAAAACATGAAGGGAATGTGTGTGTCCTCAAATCCCAAAAGGGTGGGAAATGGAGGAGCAGGGATTGCTGCATGACCATGCCCCATGGAGGGGTGCTTTCTTGCTCTCCCTGTTTCTGTCTTTCTCTGATGAGTACGCAGGCCTTCTGGCAATATTTAAAAATGCACATGTTCACAAAATCTAAATATTTGCTTCCTTGTGACCCCAATAGGAGGTGCTCTAAAAATTTCCCAGACAGATTTCTGGTTTGGATTCAGAATAAAGACAAAAGACAACGCCATTTCTTGTCTGGCTCTGGATGAAAAAAATGAAATGGGAACTCCCAACTGAATTACAACTGCTTATCTAGTCTAGGATGGCATATGAGAACGGAAAGGAGGTTTCTTTAAAACAGTGGTTCTCAAAGCATAACCCAGAGACCATTAGTCATGTAGCACTTCCTTGTTCCTTAAAAAGTAGATTCTCAGGCCTACCGCAGACCTACCAAGTCAGAAACTTGGAGGTGGGATCCAGCAATCTGTGTTGAATAATTTATTTTTTGTTGTTTTTAAATTGTTTTTAAATGTGCTCTTGGCCAAGAGAGACAGAGAGGGAGAAAGAGAGATTCTCTCAATAGGTACAGTCACATTGCAATTCCTTCTTCATTCCTCCATCCTGTTGGAATTTGGGACACACACACACACACACACACACACACACACGCCCAGTGTGTTTTTAAAGCCATCGAACCTTGATGGGCCATGTAGAATCTGGCTCCTTTAATCACAGGGTCAGCCCAAACCACTTTTTAAGAAATTCTGCTAAAAGCTCAAGTTTGAGAACCATGGCTTTAGAAAAACTTGATAATTATATTTTTGTTCATGCGCAAATACACCATGAAAGGAATTGCAGAGAGGTCAGAGCATGGGACATACACCTCACAGTGACACCCATAACTGCTTACAGATCCTCACTAGAGCCCAACTTCCCAGGTTCCTAAAAGTAGAAGATGTCCTTTCAAAACGAAAGATGAGGAAGAGAAGGGGAGGGTTGTACAAGGAGGAGAAGGAGGTGGAGGAGGAGAAAAAAAAAGATTAAAAGTAGTGTATTTTCAAACTTGATTTCATTAGACATCGATTCTTTCTAAAGACTATCACAGAATTCAGACACCAAGTGATCTTCACAGCAGCCTTAATAAGAAAGTTAAAATTTTTAAATAATTTTATGACCCCCAAATCTCATCATTATTGAGGGTGTCGCTCACATCTTTAAAAGAACAAACATCCCACCAGAGATGTGTCTGGAACGTCAGAACTTTCTCAGAAACAACTAGTTTGCTTTCATCTCGTGGACACTGTGAAGGGAATTGTCGATTATGTTTCCTTCTCTCTGCGAAGTCAGAACCAAATTAGCAAGTGAACATCAGTCAGTCTTTGCTATCAGAGTCTCTTGCGGCTTTGTCTCAATTTTCCTCCCTTATTTCCCCCACCTCGTTCTCCTCCCTTACCATCTACCTTGCTGTACTGTTTGTATTTTTGTCAGATATTTCAGGTCCTTTCAGGAAGAAGATTGGTAATAAATAAATACTTTTTTTTAAAAGAGATTTTTTTGCTACAGGGCGCCTGTGCTCACCAGAGAGATGGAGAGCGACAGAGAGACAGAAAATGAGAAATCACCCCCCGGGGGGTATGGCCACGCCACAGTTCCTTTTCTTTTGTTCTCCTCTTGGGATTTTGGGCACACACGCACACATGCCCAGCATGAGTTTTAAGCCACCAGGTCCAGAACTTGAATGCAGTACGTGGGAGTACTGTCATATAATCATTACACCATCTGCTGGTCCCAGAAAATGCTTTTTTTTTCTTTTTTTTTTTTTTTTTTAGGGAAACGTGTTTTTTTGCCGGAGTAAACTGAAGACCTGAGAGGAAAGACAGAGTGACAGCTATTGGTCCAACAGCGGGAGGAGCCCTACGGTGCGGGGTTGGGGAGTCCCTGAAACTGGAGGTGCTGCCGTCAGAGCCAGCTTCTCTGCTGCTGATGGAGGGCAGGCCGGGGAGCCCAAAGTCAGGAGCAGGGAGAACAGCTGTGAGCGGCAGAAAAGCCCTTCGTGTGAGTCATTTCCTGGAGTTAGAAAGAGAGGCCAGCAGGTGGCATAGAGGGTAAGGTGCTGGATCCCACATGGTCAACCATGGTTCTAGTGCTGGACCTGGCTGCTGGAAAATCATGCCAAGTGCATGTGCATGCGTGCTCAACATCCCAGGAGGAGAATGGAGAAGGGACTGTGGCATGACTATCCTCCTGAGGCTAAGTTCTCACTTTCCCTCTCTCTCTCTGTGTCTCTCTCCCGCAAGTGCACATGCCCAATGTTTTTATTTTACAAACCTTACAAAAGAAAAAGAAGAAAAAGGAGTAGGAAGAAGAAAGTGCAGCTGGCTTTTATGTCTGCAGAGTTGGAGCCACTCCGTCCTCCTCGTCTTCTCACTTTGGGACTAAATCAGCACCCATGCAGGACCGCCAGACCTGAGGCAGGCAATGGGTGCTGGCATTTCTCTTGTGATGGGCGAGCCACAGAACCAGCCCACCCTGATCCCACTATGCTCAGAGTTCCTGGGCAGGTGAGCCTGTGGCCTTTCAACAGACTGACAGCACCTGGCTCAGGCTCATTGCAAAGCTGAGACAATGCTTGTCTCGATCTCCTCTATCTAGTTGAGAACAAGCATGAAGGTATTCTCCTTGGGTGGCTACCTCAGTGTGACCTATCTCAGGTCCAAGATAGTCTGATTGGGAAGCAACTGGGAGTCAGTCACAGAGCAGGAGCTGCCTGGAGCTGCCCTCTCCACTCGCCAGGCAAATCCCCACACACAGCTGTCAGGACTGCAGCGTCAACCTTGACCAGTCACTTCTGAGCCCAGTTCCATCCACAA